CATGAAATACATCGAGAGGGAAAGTAAGAAAAATGCTGCTTGAGAACGTATTCGAGTTTGATGCAATGGCATTTGCTTTGTGCATTTTGATAGTTACAAAGCTTTAACTTTTTGAATTTCATCGCCTGCCGTCGTTAAATAATGGCTGCATTCTCTCATTGGCTGGCATTTTCCAGATGCAATGTAGAGAAATTAAAAAAATGTTTAAAATAAACATCTCACCTGACCCCATGCTACTGCAGAGAGAGAGAATTGGAGTTGTCTTCTCTCCCCAGGACAACCTGCAACCTGACCCCTCATCCCCAGCCCCATCCTAGATTCAAACGAACCACGGACATTTTCGTTTTATTTTCCCAAACCGCAGAATGAATTAAGGACCCGAGCTGCTCTGGGTAAATCTTCTAGTACTATCCGTCTGCGAGATCAGCTTAAGAACGACCGTACTGGGTCAGACCAAAGGTCCGTCTAGCCCAGTGTCCTGTCTGCCGACAGTGGCCGGTACCAGATGCCCCAGAAGGAGGGAACACAACAGGGAATTGTCACGTGATCCCTCCCCTTTCAGCCATTTCCAGACAAACAGAGGCTAGGGCAGGGGCGGGCCAAAATCTGGCCCGCCAAGCAGGTGGATCCAGCCCACAGAGGCCCTGCTACTCCACCACCCCAGGCCAATTAGGGCCTGAGGTTGCGCGAAGCCTCCTCCCGCCCTGCCAGGAGCACATGGCGCTTTGAAGCACCAAGCGCGCTGCTCTCAGGGCAGAGGGAGAGCGGAGGAGACTTAGCCAGGTCCTATTTGGCCTAGGGGTAGGGGAGCGCAGGAAGTCTCCTCTCACGCCAGCGGCACAGGGAACATGGGGGGAGCAAAGGCACTCCCTCATCTCCAGACCAATCATTGTCTGGAGTGAGGAAGCGGGAAGTATCTTGGTCCCTCCCCTTCCGCTTGATGTCCTGCCCCTTCCTGTGTGGCCGGGGGCCTCTTCAAAAATTTCCAAAGTGGCCCCCGGCAAAATATGATTGCCTACCCCTGGGCTAGAGACACCATTCAGACCCAGTAGAATTGCACAGGAAGAGCAATGAAGCAAACCTGCTACTGTGGGAAGGGCGTGGAAGAGGGAAGCACAAGGAACTAGTGCTGTAAGGGATGCCGGCCGATACCCACAGCAGGTACTGCCGACACCCAGAGCTGCGACGTGGCTTCGGGGCTGCCGTAGGCTCTCGGAGCCACTTCCGGGCAGGCCAAAGGAGTCTGTTAGGGAGTGACGTGCTGGTGGAGGGGAGAGGCTGCCCAAGTGCCATCTGTGTTTGATGGCAGCAGCCCAGCCTGACAAGTTGAGTGTGGGTGGGACGGGGCAGCAGGTGGGAAGGCTGTGTGAAGGACCACCTGCTCCCAGCCCGGGAGCCTGTGTAGCGGGGTCATGCCAGCACCAGCGGATGCTCCTCTGCAGAAGGAGAAGAAACTGGACATGCTGCTCCCAGGTCTGGCTGAGACTGACAGGCACCAGGGCTTGAATTTGGGCACTTGATGATTAGGCTTGGAAGGATGCGACCTTGATTTTATATGGATTGCAATGAATAATCTGGACTTGCCCCATTATGACTGTCGGTTTTCCCATGGCAATTGCTTTTTCCTGCACTGTCAGGAAATTTGTGTGTTTAAAAAAAAAAAAAAAAATATGCTGGGAGGCTTAATTGACATTTATTCAAGGCCTGTAGACCCCAGAAACCAGCGCGCCTAGATTTAAAATTAAACCACACGGGCCTCATCCTGCGCCTGTAACTCCCCTTGGGTACGTCTACACAGCAGGGCTAAAGTTGAATTAAGCTACGCAACTTCAGCTATGTCAATTGCGGAGCTGAAGTTGAAGTGTCTTAA